GGGGGGGGGGGGGCAGTTGCATTCAGAATTATTTATTCGGTTATGTGTATCAAGGTTTGTCATATAAAGGTTTAGTACTTTTAATAACTTTTTATCGTATTAGCTAAAATTGGCCATTTTTTCCCGACGGAAAATTTATATTGGCCAATCATATTTTACGAAATGTTCTTTCTGCGGAAAATTTTCTTAAGCGGAAATGGGCCTTTATGTTAACATAGTGAAAATGGGCCTTTATGCCTGCCTTGTCGCCATGCAGGCGCGATATATAAAAGTCTTGAACTGCCTGCAGTGTAGGTAGAGATGCAACTACCTGAAAAATATAAGGAGAATTTAGACGTTTCGAGGGAAGGCCCTTCGTCTGGAGTTACTAGCGTTTACTAAGGTTTACATGAAGTATTAGCGTGTCGTTGGCATGCGTGCTGAGAGCGAGACGATGTTCTGATTTGGACGTGGTCGACAACAAGTGTAGCAAACACAAAAAGACCATGGTATCTAACCTGTAGCAAAAGAAATAGATCGCGGCAAAACACCTAGTTCATGTGACCTTTTGAAACAATACGTTTTCATTAAAAAAATCATGAAATTACTTGTTTGCAATAAAATTTGTAGTAAAATTGTTATTGTGATAAGTAAACATCATTTTCATGGCTTGCATGTGTCTTCACTTCAGCTTGAATAATAAAGCACATGGAACGGATGTATAACTTGAGACTACAGTATACGGCATTGTTTGACTGTATGAATCCTGTCAAATAATTGTGATGAAAGAAGAAGAAAAAATGGCGAAAAAGACAAACCTTGAAATCTTGCACTGTGCGTGGGATTAGCTTATTTCGTTTAGGTTAAATGATATACCATTAATCTTTAAATCAAGAGCATATTTGAAATGTTAAACAGTAATAGGTAAACTCTCCAAATGTCTGGAAATTTGTCAGAATTCCTTTTAACTCGACAGCTTATACCCTGCCATTGTTTTTCTGTGAAATTCTTCAAAAGGTTACAAAACGTCGAAAGTTAAATCTGAAATATGTGGTTAGCACATATGAGGAAAGTTATTATTATTATTATTATTATTATAAATTTCCAAACTAGCAGTAACAACTGAATTACTTTGGAATTACAGGGTATAAGAACATAGGTATTTAATCTATTCTATATTTACAGGTAAAAATAGGTAAGTTAGATAAA